TAAATAAATGCCTTTACAAGATTTGTAAGGTCTTTCATAACATGACTTGTATTTACCTCTAGTATGTCTACTCCTTACCATATGATCAATAACAGAGAAATACTATAGGTCGCCAAATGTGCTAAAATTTTCAAGTATCTTTATGTTTGCTTCTGTCTTTTCTTGTATCTGCAGTGACTATTATCTATTTGGAAGCTTCTTGTCTGTCAAGCTCAGCACAGTGTATGAAATCCTTCCAAATCACCATTCAGAGATTAAATTCACTCCTTTCTCTTTCATATCACTCTCATCTCTCTTTAATGTACTGAATTTAATGTATTGAAAATAGAAATGTATTTTATTTCATTCTCAGCTCTCTATTTCTAGTATAGAGAAATACTATTGATTTACACATATTAATCCTGTGACCTGTGACTTCCTTAAGTTTACAGTCTTTTTGTAGATTATTCAGGGTTTTCTATATAAACAATCATGTTGTCAGCAAATAAAGTCTTATTGCTTCTTTTCTAATCTGCCTTTTCTTTTCTTTCTTTTGCCTTTTTGCAATGGCTTAGTTATCTAAGTTTGAATAGAAGTACTGAGAGTAGATGTTTTTGCTTTATTCTTGGACTTAGAAGAACATGAGATTTTTCACCATTAAAGTATAATTTAGTGGTGGGATTTCCCATAGATGCCCTTTATCAGGTTAAGGAATTTTCTTTATTATTTTTTAAAATCACATTTTAATTTATTTTGTGGGGATGGAGGGTAGGCATGTACTACAGTGCACATGTGAATATTCTTCTCCTTTCTTAACTAGTTCAGATAGGAAACAGCTGCTAATTTTTTCAAATGCTTTTTCAGTACCTGTTCATGATCATGATTTTTTTCCTTTTACTATTATTAGAATATGATTTTTTGTTAATTAAAATAAAAAATCATATTAATTTTATTTCATGTATATGGGTGCATTGCCTGTGTGTATGTAAATGCACTTGTGTTGTGCAACACCTGCAGAGGTCAGAAGAGGGCATCGGATCCCCTGGAACTGGAGTTACCGGATGGTTGTCAGCCGCTATGTGGGTGCTGGGAACTGAACCCAGGTCCTTTGCAAGAGGCAGTGCTCTTAATCCCTGTGTTGTCCCTCCAGCCCCCTTGGTTAATTTTTAAAATTAACCACACTAATATGGAAAACGCCTTGCACTCCTTGGTTATGGTTGTTAATCTGTTTCTACACTGTTGGGTATTAATGTATCAATATTTTGTTTATAATTTTTGCACAATCATGAGGGTTATTTGTAGCTTTTTTGTTGTAATAACTTTTTAATGTTTTGTTAGCAAAATAAAACTAGACTCATAAAACAACTATTCCTGTCTCTTCTATTTAGGTAGTGTTGAAATAGTACTGCCTTTTTAAAAAAATATTTTATTATTTTTATTTTATGTGTATGCGTGTAGGTAAGTGCACACATGTTGTGCAATGCCAGAGGCTGTGGGATCCCCTGGGCCTGGCGTTACCGACAGTTGTTAGCTGCCACATGGATGGGATCCAAACCTGGATCTTCTGCAAGAACAACCAGTGTTCTTAACTGCCGAGCCATCCCTCCAGTCCCAGTACTGCCTTTCTTAAATGTTAGACAGCACTCACTAGTGAAGCTATTTGCACCTGGAATTTGCTTTGTAAGAAAGTTACAAATTATAATTTCAACTTCTTTAGTCAATACAGGGCTACTAAATTTTTCTATTCCTTCTTAGTTTTGTAACTGTGCCTTTTCTAGGAATTTATGTTTTTCATTTAAATTTTCAAAATTTTTGGGCATAAAATTGTTTGTAATAGTTCCTTATTGCAATTCAAGACTGTGTACAGTTATTTACTCCTAATTCACATTTTTATTCCCAAGATTGTTAACTTGTAACTTTGCGTTTTTCTGTCCCTAATCAAGTTCTGTCCCTAGAAGTTTATCAAGTTTAATTAATGTTTTCAAAGGATCATATTTTTCATTTGCTTGCTAATTTACTTCTGTTACTTTATTTCCTTCCTTCTATATTGGATTTAATTTGCTTTTTCTGGCCTCCTCATGTGGAGGTTTAAATGAATAATT